TAAACATATTGGGCAAGCATTCAAACGAAATTTTAATAATGTTGACATTATAATAATAAAATTATTTGTACGTAGAATAGTATTATATTTACTGTACTTATTACAAATCAACAGTTTTTAGACGATATTAAATGCTTGAATATAATTTATATTAATCTTTAACTTTGCGATGAAAATAAAAACTTGCATTAATGTAGTATATTATGATATCTATGATATAAAAAAAGGTTCCCGTTTTGAGATTTTTTTTTTTAACCGATCAATGCCTTTCTTCTTTCTTATTTGGTGCTAACGTTGTTCCAAAGCTTCCTATAACATGTGTTTAAAATATAAAAAAAAATTATTAACGCAGATAAAACATTGTTTAGACCTCACTTTGGATTAATTTGACTTATTTGTACGCATATTAATTTAATTTGAATTCCTGAAGTTTACTAATTTCTTCACGTTGGATGCATAGGAATCCTTTCCTCAAATGGACAAAATTGATTAAGTTATCAATTTCGAAATTTCTGATCGACATGAAGTCAAAAAAAAAAAAAACAATCAAATATGGTACAGATATTAAAATAATATATCGTTAGAATGAAAATTTTGAGACGATTTTTATTTTGTTAAGAAACAAAAGGTAGTCTCATTTATTATCAGCGATTTTTAAAATATTTGTCATAATTTTTACATGCAATTGTTTTATTGGAAAAGAATTATATAATCTACTTTAACCAATTTGAGAAAAAAAAGATTCTTATGCTTTTGATATGAACTAATGAGGAAAATTAGGGCTTCCATGAACCACGATCTTGTCTAAATTCAATAGTTAAAAATTTAAAACTTTGAGTCGCGTCAATAATATGAATTTGACTCATCCAGGCTAGGTGAATTTTATAATAGAACGACTAAGTTTTCATTTGTCCTGTACAAGAGAACTTTATAATTGAAAGCCATGTTAATGCATTCATCCCAGAGAATTTAATTATTCGGCAGCTTACTTATTATGATTTGTTTGCCCAATAATTTATTATTTGTAGAGATAATAGTTTAACTACTTTCAACTATCATTCGTGCCAAATAATTTTAGTTTTTGCAAGCAAATCAGAATAAATCGTCGGATAGATCCGTAATTACTTATTATGATTTCTTAATTTGCAAATACTAAGAAATTATGTAAAGTCGTCCATTTTATGTGCGCGGAGTATTAAATCCATTGCTAGCTACTAGGGTATAATTTAGACGATCAACTAGTCAAATTAAAGAAATAATTGGCTAGTGATCCTCAAGCTCAGAATGTAATTTTACAGTACTGTACTATTGACCCTAATTTCAACCTGATTAATTTCATACATTAAATGTATAGTTCTGGACCATGTTCCGAAAAATTCGGATCTACGCGCTACTAATGTCCTGCTGGCGATTAGTAATTATTAACTTTTAATGTTAATATGAAATGATTCTTGCGGAGTTTGTTCACCAAACATCCGACAGTCGAGAATTGAGTTCTTTAAATATAAATAGAATTTAAAGTCCCGAATCTGACTCTTATAACCAATTTGACAGAAGGGAAGGCAAATACCATTATTATTTTTCTACACTCTTTTTAGGACAAAATAAAAGTTATTACAAATAAATTCTTATTCAATTTATTCCAAACTCTTTCTTAAAAATATAAATTATATAAGAAATGTTTGTTACTAAAAAAAAATATCATCAGTTGAAACAACAAATAGAAGAATTAAGACAACGAGATGAAAAACGAGTTGAAGAATTAAGGCAACAAAGTGAACAACGAGTTGAAGAATTAAGGAAACTAGATGAACAACGAATTGAAGAATTGAAGCAACAAAAGGAAGAATTAAGGCAACGAGATCAACAGCGAATTGAAGAATTAAGACAACGAGATGAGCGAAATGATGAATTGAGAGAAGAACTGAGACAAAGAGATGAAGAATTGAAACGACGAAATGAAGAATTTCAGTCTTTGAGACATAGAATATTTAATGACTTACAATATCACGACGGAAATTGATATCAAAATGTGAGCAATCATAATTCCTAGTAAGCCTAGCTTTGTTCTAAAATTTGAGTTTATTTCACATGTCTTAAAATCTGAAAAATTTAATTCTTATAATATAAAGGACATAATATTATTATATTGTATCATGTAATTTAGCCAACGTAATTATATATTTTATCGTAATTATATATTTTCAGAGAGGTTATAAAATTGCTATTTGAAAATATTTCCCTTTCCAAACTTATTTTAGCAATTTTCTAACTCTTAATACATTCTTTTAATTAATATCATAATATATTATTACATAGTTATTTAGTATTATAAACTTATTAATTCATGTCTTGAAATGTCTGGTTACATCATTATCTTGGCATAGAATAAATTTCTGCATAAAAATGGTTTAAATGATTTTTTTTTAATGTTTGATAGTGAAAAACTGTTTCATTTCACCGACAATTACTTCATATACAACCTAGATTATTTACAGATAATTAATTCATAAACCAGTTCATTTATACAGTTTATTCTTAGACTGCTCATTTTTTGGGCAAATTACTTTACAGAAAGCTCATTTTCAGATTAAATAAGAGACGTATTTATTTCAAAAGAAGCGACATTTTTTTAATGCATATACTTATTTATATAATTCTTACCGGTGAATGTTTATCAAAAAAAAAAGCCTATTTAATTTCTAATTTAAATTGTAAAAAAGAAAATAGGATCTTTAAACTCCCACTTATTTTTAAAAAAAGTTAATTCCGAAACCCCCTACTCTTATCTAGAATTTTAAGCCTAATCCTAATGACAATAACTAGAATTACTTGGCTAAATGAGCTGCTAGTAAATAAATTTTCTATTAAATATGCCGACAAAGGGCCAATGAAATAACTTGTCTATGAAATAGACACATCTGTGAATTAATTGTTTGTAAAATAATCTTAACCTTGTTTATGAATTAATTTGTGAGAACTAAGCTTTCTACAAAGTGATTGTCTACGAAGTGAGTGACCATCGAAGAACATATTAAAACTCTATTGCCACTCAAATTTTGTACCAACTCAAATTAAGAAATCAGTTAGCATCATACTATCTTTTGAACAACCTCATATGGACCGCATAAGTTCGGAATGACGCTAGCGGCTTATTTTGAAAATTACAATATTTAAAAATACAGTATTAAAATAACTCCCAAGCATTTCCCTAAATGATAAGTACCTTGTATATGACATATTTTTATCGGATAAAAAACAAATAAACCTTTTATTTTGAGCAGGTAGATGAAATCAGCGTTGGTAAGTTCTCATGTCCCCATGTTCTCATACTTTTAGATTTGAGACGATACGATGTTTTCTATGAAAAAAAAAAGTTTGAGAACATACTATTCGATAATATGTTCTCTATGTACTGTAAGTATAATAGCATAATGCTAGATGGAAATAAAATTAGAAATCGAACAAAGTTCAGAAAGAAGATAAATGAACATAAAACAAAAATTTGAATACATTCCGAAATTTTCCGAAATAAAAAAATTAAAAAAATAGGTATATAAATAAATTTTACTGATGAGTTCATAAATGATTTTCTAAGAAAATAAATCTGAAAAACAGATTTCCAATACTGGATGAAATAACGCACAGAGGTGCATTATATGCGATTATAAAATTTGTATTTCAAAGTGTAGAAATAGCAATGAAAATATTTACTGCGCTTTTCAAATTACTGTGATCGGTGATTTTCATACATCTCACCGATTATACTACTAAAAGCATTATATTTTTCTGCATGATGTAAACACATTAAAGCCAGAAAAACTGATTAATACTTGTTACAAAGTTATCTAACTTCTCGTGCTCAATATTCACTTATAAGTTTTACTCTTGACTGGCTTATTATGATGATTGAAATAGTACTTAGCATTACATTATACATCTTATCATCTTATTTGGTATTTTTTATTTTAATTGGTAAATGTAAAAAATTTTATTTAAACTAATATCTCTTTAATTTGTTTCACTTTATTATTACATTAAATTTTTGGAAAGTATTGTCTTTATTAATTAGTATATTTAAATAAGCCATCCGAGTTCATCCTTTATTTTCAAAATATAATTTTATACTTAGTTTTTATTTCATTCACATTAATTTAATTGGAAAGCATAATGTACTTTATTAATTAAGTTATTCGAACTTATCAGATAAGTTATACAATATACCATAACATTAATCTATTTACTGCAGAATTAAAAAAAAAACCCCGACCGCCGACCGTTGATTCTGAAATCCATGTAATGCAAATCGAAAAATTAACTTTGCGTGGCCTTATAGCGAGAATAAAATAAAAAATTCACTATTTAGTATTATTCATATTAATTCTTTTTGTGAATATAAAAGATCTTATATTTTATAGTTATTTAATTTAATTAAGCTATTCAAGTTCATAGCATTTACCATCCCACTATGTCTTTTGTTAAGTTTTATTTAGATGCATTTTTTATATGTCAACCATAGATTTTGTCAATATTAATCGAATTCTGAGTCACTTTTAATTTTCACCGATTGAAAATAATTTGGGCCGATTTTATTGCAACTATCGAACATATAATTCAACTTTGCCAAAAAACCTTTGTTAATATTACATTTTACATTTATAAAAAAAATAAAAATAATAAAAATAAGTAATAAAACAAAATAAAGTTCACAAAAAGCTTCATAATGCCTTTATATTCATAAAATAATTTCAGGCTCATATTTATCTGTTCTAAATTCTTTATGGTTTAGATAATTCCTTTAATATTTTTAATAAAATTTTAGCTTTTGAAGATTTTCAATTTTGCCAACCCATTTTATCATGTGTACATAAAATGTACGTAGTGTAATGATTGTGTACATTTATGAGCGAGATCATATCGATTTTTAACGTGCATTGTTAGATTATACAACTATTTTCCTTTAAAATTCCAGAAAGTAATTTTCATGCTCCCATTTTTATATCAAGTAGGCTGATGTTGAAATTAACTAAAGTTATTGCCATCGTAATTGTTATTATAACGCTACTGTATAATGATCGAATCGATAAGTTACAACAGAATTAAATAAATTACAGGCAATACAAACTCATCGATTCGTTCATTGCCAATTTTCAATTATCCAGAATTTTGAAACCGGCTGTAATAACTTATGACATAAAAAATGAAATGTAGAACCGACTTTGAAATGAAGTCGGGAAAATGTAAAAAACTAGAAAATCTAAAATTAATTAATAAAATTTTCAAAATTAATCTTATATGTTGGGTTCTATTTCATTAAAAATAAGTAAATTTAAATTTTAAAAAATTTTGACGTAATTAAGTAAAAGCATTATACTAGATATTATAATAATTGGTAACGACATAGTAATGGTTAGTTAGTTTAAACTGGGTGGCGAGCCGTCAACATGTGCAGCCTCTAGTTGTCTATAAATAATTTGTCAATAAAGTGATTGTTTACGAGGTGAATAATACTGTACCCGTAAAAAAAAAAGAATAAAGGAAAAAATTTACATTGTGGTTCAAAATTAATAAATTAAGAAATCAGTGGCGCGTTTCGAAATTAAATAGCATTTTTACAGAACATCCACCCTACTTTTTTCAATTTCATATTAACGGGAATAAATGTGTAAAATTTTATTGCTAATTCTGCTAATATGAATTGAAAAAAAAGTTAGCCAGAATTGTATTCCACTTTTTCGGTATATTGAATTATGAATCTGAAAGTATAAAATAAGATCCTCTGATTTAATTTTTGAAGCCCCAATTATCATTATTATGTACAGTACTAGAAAAACGGAAACTGTTATAAGTTGTTGTGCTACACAAATACGCAATGGCAAAAGACATAAAATTCAAATTATGATTTAATATTTTCAATAAAAATGCTTTCGAACTCGGAATTTTCTATACTTTGTATAGAAATTTATAGTCCTCAGACAATGAGTAACATAAAATGCTGTTGGATCAGCTTGAAAAAAACTTATCTCTATGTAATTTGAAACATTGTTTTGATACCTACATAAAGTTTTGTGTTTCAGAAGCATCTTTCCTTTGTAAAATTCCTCTATTGCTTCTTTGACACAAGGTACAGTACATTAGCTAAACACTTGTTAATTGAAAATTTGTATTGCATTTTTGTCGCCAATGCAAAATCTGATAACTAACTGTAATTGCAAGTTATTCGCTTATAATATAAAAACAAAGTTTATTAGGTCGTGCATACAGATTGTTTTATTATTATTAGGGATGGGATCGGCTTTTAGTAAGCCGGCTCAGCCACGGCTTTTGAGCCGAGCCGACGAGCCGGCTCGAGCCGATATCACGTGATTTAATGCACCTATGCTGACCCTATTTTATAAACCGGTTTTTTATATAGGACGTACGTACGTATGTACGTATGTAACAGTTGATCGAGATGTCACGCAGACACTGGGGTAATTTTTTTACTATGAAATTTGAGTGATCGACATATATATGAGAAATCCCCTTTTCATAGTAAATTGTAATGGTGACCTGTTTTTAATCACCAGTTTCAAGGGTTTCACAAAAGACAACTGCACTCACGAGATATAGTGCAACGACTC